TAATATTTACGAACGCCAACACAAAATGATATTTCCAGGCTTTTTATATTGGTGAGAAACGAGGATTTCCAGGAATGCTTGGAAGCTTAGATTGCATGCATTGGTGGAAAAATTGTCCTACAACTTGGGCTGGACAATATACAAGCCGGAGTGGATCACCAACTCTTATTCTTGAGGCAGTAGCAGATTATGATCTTTTGATATGAAATGCATTTTTTGGTATGCCTGACACCAATAATAATATCAATGTGTTGGAGTCTTCCCACCTTAATTCCAGTCTTGCTCAAGGTATTGCTCCTTCAGCTCATTATATCATTCAAGAAAAAGAATATAATATGGGCTATTATTTGGCTGATGGTACATATCCAAAATTGTCTACCATAGTGCAAACTATTCAAGAGCCAATTGGTCCAAAAAATAATATTTTGCTATGCAACAAGAAGCGTGTAGGAAAGATTTGGAACGAGCTTTTGGTGTTCTCCAATTGTGTTATGCAATTGTGAAAGGGCCTGCTCGCTTTTGAAAAAAAAATGTGATTCATAACATAATGACTACATGTATAATGTTGCACAACATGATAACCGAAGATGAACACGATCTTGAAGCACCAGTTGAAGTTGGAAGAGAAACTCTACCTCCGGAAGTTGAAATGGTAGTGGATGAAAATACTCAATTTCAAAAAATTTAGCTCGATTTAGACATATAAATGATAAATAAGCTCATTTCTTACTTAGAATGCCTTAATTGATTATTTGTGGAAAAAATATAGTAAAAATGATCTTTAAGTGAAATTCTGTTTTTTTTAATTAAATAATATATGTTTAGTTTTTTTTTTCAAAATAAATTAAGTATATAGAAGAATTTGTCAATTTTTAAAAGTTAAAGAACCTTTTATTTAATTAATGATAAAGTAATAAAAGAATATATTTGGAATATTCTATTTCTGACCGAAAAAATAAGGTGAACTATTGGAGTAAAACACTATCTCATTTTACTGTTCCCTCATTTTGAGGAAAAAAATAAGGAAAACCGTTGAAGATGGTTTTAGTGTCTAAACATTTTTTTTTCCTCTGGGGTTTTCAAACTTTCTGGATCGAACCTGTCTACCTATATACTACTAGGCCTACCAGTGATGACAAAAAAGTTGAGTACGTTGGATTATGAACTTTTTGTGGATAATATACGCAATCAGTTTCTCTCTTGGGCGTATAACACTCTTTCATTCGCAGAGAGACTCCAAATAGAGCCATGCCAAACTTAATAGCTTACAGAAGCGAATAAAAAAATATGTCTTTATTTATAAATTTTTTTATAATAATAATATGACTGCCACCTAACGAAAACAATAAAATAAAATTATACTAAATTGTAGTTCTAAGAGTTTATTTTTACTTTCTTTTTTAAAAAAAAATTGTTGACAAAATTTTTCGTTAACTAATTATGAATAAAAATTGTTTAGAGAAATAAGAAAATAATATATTTTTTTTTAAAAAAGAGAAAGCAAAAATAAATATTTTTTAACTTAATTAAAAATAATTTCTAGAGAAACATTGAAATTTTTTGTACTAATAAATTTCTTAATGTTAGATACAGAAATAAAAAAGTAAAAAAAAATACATGATTAATTTTTTTTTATCATAATTCTTTAATAATAAATTAATAACTTCTAATTTATAAATCCATATATAGGTTCATATCCACATTTGAAATTAATATAATATAATAATAATAAAAAATTAAAACAAATGCTACCTGAAATAAAAAAAATTTTAGAGTCATTTACAAAAAAACACACTTTGGAGAAAGTTGTTACAAAATTAGGCACTTAGGATATATAAGGCACTTTGCTCAATATTTGAACATCTGATGTGACGATTTTGCCCTTACTGAATATTGTGTTGGACGTTATAATACATTAGTTTTTGGGCGTTCATCCATCGGATGGCATCCATCTCTTCCATCCACCTGATTGCATCCATCTTTTCCATCCACCCACTTGCATATATCTTTTTTCCATCCACTAGATTGCATCCATCTCTTTCATCCACCTGATTGCATCCATCTCTTCTATCCACCCCGATTGCATCTATCTTTTCTATCCAACCACTTACATTCATCTTTTTTCCATCCACCAGATTGCATCCATCTATTCCATCCACTCGATTGCATCCATCTTTTCAACCCACCCGATTGCATCCATCTCGTTGCATCCATCTCTTCCATCCATCTGATTGTATCTATCTTTTCGTCCACTCTGGATCCGGCGACCTCTGCATCGGTATCCGTCGCGGTTTCGGATCTAGCGGCCCACGATCTGATAACAACCCTTACACCAGGGTTTCGGGTTTCCTCCCCAACGACATGAACATGGTTCATGGGCACTGTCTCCGCCGATCCAATCCGCTGGCCCAATTCTCCATGGCGTCTCCTCCAGGTCTCTATTGAACAAGAGGATCCTTCTGGAGTCAGCTGGTTCATGGGCACTGTCTTCGCCATTCAAGTCGCCGATCCAATCCGCTGGCCCAATTCTCCATGGCGTCTCTTCCAAGTCTCGTTTAATGGTGGAGAGAAAATTAAAGAAGAAGAGAAAGAGAGAAGAGAGAAGACGAGAAAGAGAGAAGAAGAATAAAATTGTCTTTTTATTTAGTCAAAGTGCCTTAAAATTGCAAAGTGTGTTTTTTGATATTATAGTTTGTCAAAGTGCCTTTCTCTGTAATATTCTCTTCTTTTGATTGCCAATATGCACGGCTCTGGCTCCAAAATATCTCTTTTTGGACTGTGAAGCAGGGTAGCAAAAGATCATGAGTATGGCAAAAGCTTCTGAAATTACGTGACCAAGCTTATCTTTTTTTTCGGTTTGAAATCCGGGACAACAATTCATGTATTTCTGGTTTGATGACTCATTGGAGGAGGGAAAGCTGATAGATGTCACAAGAACCTACGTCACTTGGGTATCCCACAACTAGCGGCAGTTGCTGCAGCTACAAGCATAACTGGTTGGGAACTTTGAGGCTGTAGGAGTCGACATTATCGGGATCTATATGCTAAGAATCTCACTATGCCAGCTCCGAGAAGGGTTTTTGGCAGGACATTTTGTTGTGAAGACATGTTGTGGAGCTATACAGATCTGATTTCTCGGCTTCCAAGACTTGGCATCAGATCTGACCGAGGAAGGAAGGATGCAGTGCTCTAGCATCGCGCTGTTTAGTTTCCGCAAGAGTTATCCCGAGAATCATTAATGGTTGAATCGACTATCTACTGGGGATCATATCATATGAGAGGATGGGGTCAAAATTAGATATGTGTTTCTTGTGCTGAACCATATGAAACTCGTGATCATTTGTCTTATGCCTACCTTTACACTTATACGGTCTGGATGGCTCTGGCAGGGAATTTGTTGGGTAATGCTGCTACACCGGTTTGGCATCATACATTGGATCATCTTCTTCAACTAAGTCACTACCATTCTATAGATTGCTAACAATGGCTTTCCAAGGCAATGATTTACTTCGTTTGGAGGGAGTGCAACTTGAAACACTATGAGGGAAATTGATGAGTCTACAGATAAGTGTAAGGGAGTGCAATGATTTACTTAACCAGAGCCATAGTAGCATCAAGAATAGGAAACATAATCAGATGATGAGTCCACAGAGGACTCACTAAGCCCAAGTGGTCATCAAGTGGCTGGTAATCGACCAGAAAGACAGAGGAATCCTCCAATGAGGTTACAAGACTATGTATGCAAAGATGTTGAGATGGAAGATGAGTTTGCATGTCTAGTTTGTGCTATGTCAGAAGATGGTGGTTCAGAACCATGAAATTACCAAGAAACAATGGAAGATCCTGATAGTGACAAATGGGCAGAAGTAGTTGGAGAGGAGTTAACTTTTCTAAGAAAGAACTACACTTGTGATCTAATTGATAAACCACATAAAAGGGATCCATTGAAACAAGACTATACTACAAGAAGAAAGGGAATTTTTTGTGATCACAGGTACTGTGATTATGACTTTGTAGCAGACATTGATCATAAAAGGCATATCTCAGAGATAATGTTCACAAGAGGCAATACAACAAATTAGAGATTCACTGCAGAAGTATCGACTATAGAAGTAGAGTACATTGTATTGTATGAGGCTGTAAGAGAAGAAATTTAGTTAAAGGAATTTTCTAAAACTTGGATTTATGAATTGGTTATTCCTAAACGAGTCATGAAAGGTATAACGAACATACCTTGTCTCCACATTGGATCAAGAACAGGAGTGCATTGTGATTCTCAAAGTGCTATCATACTTTTAAAGAATGTAGTTCATCCTGAGAGGACCAAACATATGGCTATGAAATATCATTTTATTAGAGACTTGATAAGTGATGAAGTGATACGAGTGTTGAAAATTCTTATGACTTACAAACCAACAGATATTTTCACAAAGATATTACCAGTTTACAAACTAAAGGATATGCTTTAAATTTCTAAGCATTGAGATGAGCATCCGAGTGAAGATGCAAGTACCGACTCTGGGTGCAAGGAAAGATCTTACCAAATATGGATCTATACCTAATGTAGAGATTTGAAGATAATAATCGTATGACCTAAAATTTCTATGTATTTTTAGAAATTCATTTGACCAAATATCGATCTATACCTATTTGCTTTTTTCCATGTAGATCACACCTAGTAAATGGGAACGAGATCTAGGGAACCCAAACTTAATAACCAAACTTCATCTAATTTATGGTAGTAGCTAGCTGGGAAAAAAAATACAGCTAAAAGATAAACAATATTTTGTGAGGAGATCTTTTAATAAATAGTCCGTCTAGCTCAGTTGGTGGAGCGCAAGGCTCTTAACCTTGTGGTCGTGGGTTCGAGCCACGGTGGGCGCCACTTTCTTTTACATTTTCGATCGAAAATGAACGTAGTGATTGGTTGCCCCAACATGTACTATTTAGGCTGCTTTATATATATTGCATTGGTTGGTTGGTTACATAAATTTGAAAAAAAAACGAGGAAGAATCCAAACTGGTTTATCGTGGTAGAATTATAATTTGAATAAATAGAATTATATAAGGCAACCCCGTATACATTTGTTGATGAACATGAGTCTCGTGTTGGAAAAATCTGCACTTCAGACGTTTTATATATGTACACACATATTATATATTTCTACGATATGATTACCAAAAATCTACACCGGAAGAATTTAACAAAATGAAGTGTTTTTTTTTTACCAAAGCCGTGTTCGATCTCGCCCACCTGAGAACAAAAAGCATGTCTAATAGAGATCAGACGCATTTACAGAACGCAAAGTCGCAAACATTGAATACTAAAAGCTCAAAAGCATTTAGATTGTGTTTGTATTATAGTCATGACGCAAAAGTAGACGGTTATAAGCAAACAAGACCAAAGCTTTCCTCATGCAAATGGAAAATTGATTAAGAGGAGAAACAGGGAAAGAGTCTTTACCGTCATTGGAAGGTGAGATAACTCAAAGATTCAGACAGCTCCAAGCATTAACTTGAGCTGGTCGTAGGGCTTGTGCCAAAGGTTGAAGATGGTGTAACTGAAGTTGGCATTTGTTGAGAAGTTCCTTCAGCCCAAGAACTCTCAGAAATCGGGGAATATGGCCTTGTCACTTTGTTTTTCACCATTCCCTATAAACAAAATACAATAACCAAACTCTTAATTTGGTTCCTTGTTTGGCATAATAATTTCCACATGTTAGGTCTCTCAATCACGGGGGCGGCATCAATGTAACTAAAAGTGAAACAAAAGCTCTTCTAACCTTTGAAGCATCTTGGCCGTACAGGTTAATGGCTTGATCGATGGCTGAGTAAACCTCGAAGGCCTGCTTCGTGTTGGGACTGCATTTGACAACGCGGACTTGCTCCTTTGAATCATGTGGCTTTGATTTCAGATAGAGAATAAGCCGCGAAGGTGGAGAGTTGGGTTGGTCTTTTTTCCCGTCAGTCAGTTCCATGGTTACAAGATCAGTCCATAGAACGTCCCACTGTATAGAACACGCATCTTTGGCCGGGATAAACTTTCTTTGACCCATTATGTTGGAGGGTTGCTAGAAACATTAAGAGTTTGCAAATGTCAAGAGGATTTTTTGGATACACACAGAGGACTGAAACTAGCCCAATCAAACCTTATGCATATATAGAGAGCAAGAGGGTATTGTGTGACTCACTTGTAGCAGTATCACTCTTCGATGTGTGATCATTAGAACTTTTCCTTTCGGTAGGATGAAATGACTTTCGTAAGCATCCGTTAATGCAAACTTCCCGCGTACTTTGAATAGATCAACTTGGCCAAGGAATGATCCAGATTCTGCCAACTGCAATATGACCTGTAAATACAAAATGTTAGGGATTTGAACTTTGCGTAAGTATCATCACATGCTCGGTGAATCAAACCAGTATAATAACATCAGTTAGTCAAGAGAAAAACAACCAGTGGAATACATATATATATTCACGAGTACAAATTGTACCTGCCCCTGTGCTCTGTATTCGTTGTAAGGACGAAGCAGGCTATCAGCGCCAACAGCTCTTGGAAGTCTCCGGCGAAGAAGCTGTTCATCTGAAGTGATGGCAGCTGCTATCTTCATCCTCATGGCATTTGCACCTTCAGTGGTCTTTGACAGAAGATCCAGAACTCCACTCACAGGTTGGGCAGCAGCACCAATAATTCCTTTCCCGAAACCTGAGACAAAGCCTTCGACACCAGAAGACTTTGCACCTTCGAGAGGCTTTGTCAATATACCTGTGACTCCTCTAAACAGGCCTTTCGCTAGAGCTCCACCTCCTTCTCTGATAATATCGCCAAAGTCCTCAACACCTTTGTTGTCCTGCCAAATGTAAGAAAACACATGAGCGCGTACTAACAAAACGGAGCATAAGCGAGAAGCACTGGCAAGCCCATAACGTTTGGTATCAGAAGCCATTGGAACATTCAAGCGTTAAGAGGACAATTTTCTACATATTAGGTAAACGGATGAAACGCAATTTGTATTTTTTTTATGTTGCATCTATACAGGAAATAGCAACATGCAGAAGGAACTAACCTGTCTCTGTCGACTCTGGATGAACTTTTTATCCATTGATAATGCAGCTATGCCTTGACTCATATGGCCAAGAGCGCTGCTTGCGTTGCCAAGAATATCAACGCCTGAGAGCAACTGAAGAGGCTGGCCAAGGAGGTCTTTCTTTACGTTCCTAATAGCATTATTGATCATAGTACTTTGCCGCATGGATATGTTCTCATTAAATCTTTCACTTATGCGTACCTGTTTGAAGATAAGAAAAATAAAAAAGAATATCAGCTGGGTTGGATTGAAAGTACAGTAGTTGGGACATTGACAAATCAAATTCTAAAAGCTGTGAAATTCGTCGACTATTATCATTGTGGTGATACTACGAGTAAAAGATGATGGTGATAAACCAATTTATGGACATTGGCCAGACTCGTGTAGATACCACATATTAATCCCTAAGTCGGTTTACATACTAGTAGGCCATATATTTTTAACTGGTATCTTAATAGGCTAATTGCGTGCAACACAGGCATCCTTATTGTTAGGTTGCACTCTCACATACGTATTACGATGGAAAACTTACTGGCATGTTTTCTGTATTCCCAAGAGCAGTCATCAGGGATGACCAAAATCCAAGCACTCCCCTCGGCCTTTGACTTGGGGACATGGCCATAGATACTTTAAATCTAACCTCTGAGATGTTAAGAACTCTGCATTTTGGAGGGATGTAATATGATAAGTGTCTTGTGAATCGACTCATTCAGTAAACATCATATAAATATATATCAGGAAAAAAAGTGTACATACCCGATTTGAATGAATGGATCAACTGATACAGCTGTCGAGTTAGAGTCGGATAGTCTACTCAAGTTGGCTTGCTGAATCATCTCATGAATGCGCCAGATTATAGGTTCATGAATATTAATCAGAAAGGCAGTATTTTCACGTCCCTGAAAACCTATATACGGGTAGACACGGAGATCGAGACCAGCATTTGATTGCAAAGTAACAGAAAACTTCAAAATGTAATCAGCTTTATCTCCAGCTCTCTGTGGTCTGAACAGAACCGGCATTGGAGCCAATGGCAGTTGGTTATCCACTTGTATTCCTTGCATCCTTAGTTTGAACCTGTAAGACAGTTAGCGTTCAGAATTAGTCCAGCGTGCATGCCAATTCATGATCATAACAAATGCAGTCTGTTGGAAATCTCAAACAGATCTTTTTCTGCATCTGAAAATTTGGAACTTTACACATGACCACTAAGTGCATATAGACAAAGACTACAGTTACCGAATTATATATTAATTCAGTATGGTCATTCAGAATAACTGCATTGGTGAAGAATGATGTCTCTTCCATATGTACAAGAAAAGCTACACCTTGAGAATCTGATAAACTAACCTGCTAAGCCCAGAGCCCAAGCCGGTTGAATATGCCACAACGAAGTTTTGAACTGACATGTACAGTATTTCCTCAGGAGCATGATCGATAACAGAGATTCCCAGCTCAGCGAGCTCAACAATCACATGAAACTCAGACTCTTCCGAGGCCAGAAGATGAGATTGCTGAGACTCATTTCCAGATAACTCTGACAAAGATGATGCTGGAAGTCTTCTGCTTATGCTTGAAGTAGGCTCAATTGCCGGCATCCAGTCACTGATTCTCACAATGTTCTTTTTATCTTCCTTTACAATAGTAACTCGAATGGGTCTGGTAGGTCCAGTCTCACTTCGTGGTGGATGATCACCAATCTTATCAATATCGAATTTTTCCGATTTAGAAGGATCATTTCCATCAACAAGGAGTTCAAATAGATGTCGTCTACCAAGATCTTCCCAATAAAATGAAGCAGCCGCGTTAGGAGGAAGAAATTGCCAAGACTCGCTGACACCATCTACTTGGCGATAGCGAATAGGAAGGAACATGGAACGGTTCTCGATCCTAGGAGAGTGGTATCACATTAGGTAAAAGTTAGATATACGTAGTGAAAAAACATAAATATAGGAGAGGGAACACACTTGGATTCAGCAAACAGGATGCATCATTGTATCAAAATAATTTCAGTCAGGCTACATGGATTACTATATCCACCAAACTGACAATGGTTTTCGAAGAACAAATGTGGCAACAATTTTGATCATAAATGCAAATATGATCTGGCAGTTAGAAAATGTACCATCTAGATCTAAGCAAACAGTACAGTAACATCAGACAAAACAAATCATTTCGAACTGGGAGACAACTGAAGCATGTGTGGTTACCTGTAAGGACCGGAGACAGAGTTCGGCCTGAAAATAACTTCGTAACGTGAGTTCTTTGTCCCGCTTCTGACTTGTACTCTTAGCTGCAATTGATCAGTCCCATCTTCTCTTTCAACAGGGACACGTATTAAACCTTCTCCAAAGACACTGAATGGTGTGCTCCATCTATATCCCTCCACTCGTAACTGAAAATGTCCCATCCGCCGTGAGCACATTAATCATCTTTAAAAGTAAGATACAGATATCTGAAGGTATATCACTTACTTTCAGCAACTCAGTCCGGGTGGAAGACTGCCATCGAAAGAGCTTTGGAGGATCAGAAGGATTAATCCATTCTTCTGTCTGACAATCACACTGTTGAATACAGATGCTCACACCCACCCGGTTGATGAATAAGGTGTGTGGCTGGAGCTGAATAACCTGTAAACAAAAGACTCAGTCATCTAATGTGTAACTGGGACTAAGATAATACTAAGTGAAAATGTGCCTATTTACAAAAGCTAGTGTTCAAGTTACTATTAAGCACTCATCCGCTTCTAAATATTCTTCATATAATAAAACACGGATGCAAGACTGTATAGTTATTACAGAAAACAGGAGAGAGAAAGCAGTGGCTAAACTAAGTTTAGTAGGTCAAGCTCATCCGTAGAATTTCATACGGCCAAATAACAATTTGGGATTTTAGACAAGTAATTCACATAAATACGCCAGAGCAATGAGAAAATAAATCTCATGAAAGTGATATCTCACCTTTGTTCTGTCCGAGGTCATATTCAGTACTGCCGAGAGCTTGTAGTACGAGGCGTCTGAGCAAAAAGCCTTTACATCTATGCGTTCCTGGAAGAGGATTTGTGGTTAGATAAAGGAGATAGAGTTGCAAGGTCACCCAACCAACTAAAGAAATTGATGACTCGGCCGGGCAACTAGGAAGAAAACCCTTCGTAAAGAAGTGAGTCAGAAATGGTTTGTAAAATAAAGTTAAGTCCAGAAAATTCAAGCCATTAGTTTTATGGAAATCATTTAAGCTTTAGCTAGTCACCTTCTTCTCAAGCTCAAGAAGAGAAATTCCAGGACTGTAGATCTCTGAATCTCTAGCTGCGACAGCAATTCCAATTCGTGGGGAAACATAAGAATCCTTCTGAGATGGAAACAGCACCACGCCACTCCGACCAGCTGATTCTTGTGGAGAAAGCATGCTAGGCATAGGACTAGTATCCTCAATAACCTCAAGCACTCGAAGATTTTTCCTCTGTTGTCTCCTCTCCATCGAAAATCCAGGAGCTTTCTTAAAAGATTTGGAAGCCCTAGACAGGCAGGGGGAGCTAGCTTCCACATTTTCTGAAGGCTCAATCTCCACCACTCTATAGGCTAGAGGAAGATATGAATCATTTGTAATCCAGTATGGCACAAAGAACCTTATCGTTTTTGGTGCAGCCCCTGTTTCTCCAACATCACGTTCTATACTTACACGCAGTCTCCTGAAACTCCAGAAAAAATAGTATGATGTGGCAAAATATTTTCACGGAATATAGTACCGGTTTATTTAAACGAAAAAATCTATTCATCACTCGGTAATCTCAACACAAAAGGTTTTCCATCAATAAATAAAATTCAGCTACGAACTGGCTCCTACAAGGGATACTGCTTAGTTGAAAAGAGATACCGACTGAAATTATTATTACTGGAACCAATGATAACTTTGTAACGTGACACTTCATAGTCAAGAGCAATAAACATACTATTAACCAAAAAATTTTAACAACTTCATATATTCAAATATCTGGGGTAGTCAACAATTCCAGGCGAAATGAGAACCAAAAAAGAATGACAAACCTTTTGCTCTGTTGATGGACGAACCAAAAGGATGACACACTGTCACTTGAAGATAGATCTAAAACAGGGATAGGATCCTACAAAAGAAAAGCTAAAGTCAGTAATGTTTTAAAACTTTTTCCAGAGTGGGTAGATTCTGCTGTAGAATATCAAGGCCAACCTTTTCCAAAGCCCAACCACCATGCACAGCTAATGTAATATATACAGGTCTCTGAATATCTGCTGAGTATACGTTAGCACTCTTCCTTGAAGATACTACACCATGTTGTCTCTCAAGATATGTGCCTTCTTTTGTCTTTTCCCACACAGTGAATTTGACTGGGCAAGGAAGTCTATTTTCGAGCTTCAAAGGAGAATTAATAGAAAGTTTCCAATCATAAACAGGTGTATTAAGGTCTGTATGAAGAACTGACGCATCTGCTCCTACGCTGAGCCAAAATGGCTTACTCCCAGTAGAGGGCTGGCAGCAGAAAAGCATATCCTTCTTCTCAAGCTGGTTTAATTTCAAAGCAAAAGCAGATGCTTTGCTGCTTTGCTTGAAAGTTTGCTGCCGAGTAAGCAAACCTTGATCAACAAATGGTTGATCTTTTCCACAACCAGAACTTACGGCGATGCAGCTACCCCATGCATAAGAATGATCCGGATTCTCAACCCTTGGCCGGACATGTAGGCACTGTTCATTATCCTTTGATAAACATCCCCATGGTAAAACATAGGAAGATCCAGAGGCAATCAAAGCATTACGATTGCTTGCTCCTGAAGAGACATTCTGATCAGAAGATATGGATATCTCTAAATTGATATCTGAATCATTTACAACGGTCGCTAAACATCTGAATGTTGCGTGCTTTCTTCCATTTCTCATAGAAACTTCCATTGCAATAAAATCATTTTCTAGTGATTTCGGAGCAATAGAGAGCGGAAGCAGCGAGCGAATGCTATGCCATGAGTCATCAGGCCGAACTCCAATCCAGAAACCAGTGTCACCGTCAACAAACTCCTTGCTTTCCATATTTTTTAGTGTGTTGGGGATTGTAGTCTTCTCAAAATAAGATGTTGAGACAAGCAAGCATCCATTGTCATGTATATCTTCGGCATTCTTCAATTCGTGAATCAGATGAGAAATGACAATGTATGTTATTAAAGCTTGAGAAATACATTAACGCACCCTGATAAAGAATGAAAAAGAACTAACCTTTCTCTGAAGCGTATAGGAACTTGTATTCTCAGCATCACTTGATTGAGGTAGCGACCTTACTGAAGCTACCTTTCGAAGTGTATTTTCCCCATGTACAACAGGAAATGAAAGCGACCCGACGACCTCCCCTGTATTAGTCAATAACTTACTCTCATGTAACATAGGTACAATCTCGACTCACAAAACTCTTGGAAACATTTTCAGTCGTATCTAATTCGCATATCAAGTATAGACAATCCAAGGACTCAACTGAACAATAAACAACACCAATTCACTCTAGAAAAGAACGCAATCACACACACGCAAAAAAAGGACAGTTGAATTTTGATGGTTACGCTTGAAGAACGAGACAAAGAAAAGCGATCTAAGAAGTCATAGAATTTAACCTTTTCCAGCTTTAGCAGCAAGGTTTGTTACTTCAACCTCCAATCTGGCCAATCCCTATAACAATTAGATAGAAAACGCTACTCATATGAGATAAGTTCCAAAATCATGACACTTATTCAAGTTCAAAACAGAATATTGCAAACCAATATACCAACTAGTTGTACCAATAACCATCTAAACCAAAGCAAACAATGGGAGCGCAACTAGCCTTGATATTCTGTTCCAATTCAATGCTAATTCTAGGCTACATCGCTTATGATACCGAATGTTGGAAGGGACAGAGAAGATGAACAACGGAAGCATAAAACTAAAAGGATCCTTATTTACTACCTTCCTTGGGATTTCAAAAATGAAAAGTTCATTCCACTTGGAAGTGCACTCCATCAAGTCATTGACAACTGTAGTGGACGGCTTCACGCACTTTGTCCTAGCACTTTGAGGAAAAAGCTTTTGTGGTTCTGCACCTTGACTATCAACAACGAGGCGCAGGGTGCAAAAGAAATTGTGACTGTTGCCATCATCGACGATATGCAAACCCTACACACACAAAATGAAAGTGCCATCTTAACCATTACCTTTTTTTATAGGCTACTTAAGAAAATTCAAATGATGGATGCCAAATATATGTATACCTTAGCCTCAAGAATCTGTACAGTCATGTAATTGCGTGATTCTCTAGAACTGTCTGAAACATTTAACCTATTGGAGAACCTTGGTGGTGGAACCCAGACAGAAGTGTTTTCATCGTGACACAATTTTACAACAACATCTGAGTTCTCCTCCAGCTTTTTCAGATATATGTCGCGGCCGAGTTTATTCTCTACCACAATGGTCTGAAAATCATCTTCGTCAAGAGCTGAAAAAGCTGAAAGATCCCCACTCTCACGAGAGACAGCTGATTCCTGTACCACAGCACACTAGTAAGTAACAAATTTTTTTTTAAAAAAATCACTAAAAAACGATAAAGAATACTTTACCTCTTTCATTTTGGCCGCTCTTTCTTCAAGTTCTAATTGCCTCCTCCAGGAAACAACGGCATCACCAAGAGTTTCAAGGTTTGCGGCACTAACATTTATGTTCAGAATGTTAGTAGCGGCAATTCGTAGCCGTTTTCCTGGCTTTGATGATTGACTCAAGGCAGTATCATATGTTTCCAACCTTCAAAGCAAAAGTGAGAAATCAAAATATTATTCCAAATACTACGATTAAACGCAATTTTATCTTCCAATTGAGTCGCATCATAAATCAAAAACATTATTATCTTTACTTGAATATTCCATCAAATGGCTCTAGAAGAGGTTCCCATGCTTCCAGCTGTGGGTTAAATGTTGAAGCAGCGATTGAGGAAATGAGTACTGCATTCATGGCTTCAGGGCGACCATGAGTTGCTAGCTTGATATTGGTAACAGTTGTGTCAAAGAGCGGAGTCATCTGGAAGCATTCAGAACAGGATGAGACGTAAATACTGGGTTTCCAACAAATTGGCTAATAATTTTGACCATATCACATACCATTCCATGTAAGCCATCTAGAAGTGTCAGAGAGAAGCATCTCAGCTTAATTTCCGCATTTACATTTTCCTGTGTCTTCGGCTTTACAGATTCTCCAACAGCGAAAGCCAATCGAGTTGGAGGCCTTTTTAGATCAGAACGTGCAAGAAAAGTGCATGCCTACAAAAGGTAACAGCAGCTATCAGGATTGGCAAATAACTTTTCACTGTGTGGGTACTTAGCTTAAAATGGATGGTAGCTGATTCACAGAAACAGAAGGTCCTATAGTTCAATAATGACAATGCGGAGCCTTCACAGAAAAAGAGACATGGCATCAAAAGTTAAAGAGGGTTGTCAAACCTGATTGTCAACTTTCCAAATGCTCCAGCATTGAGAAGACTTTGAACTTGAAGACCTTGAGACAGAAGATTCATAAATGTTGGCCTGGTTAACAAGATCACTCCTTGGACAACAGAACGAATCCACATGTGGCGCCTCATCAAATTTGGAAAGAACGCATCCTAGAGAAACATAACCAGGAGGTGCAACAGGAAACCAGCAGAAAACTTCATCCAGACCTTTCCCCACAATATGTGCGACTTTATTGAACTGCACAGGTTTTGCAGCAATCTCAGAGTCATCTGCTTTGAAGAGTATTCCAAGTGATGGTGGCTCCAACCTAATGAGAGAAGAAGAATTTCGTAGGTTATGACATTCAAATGAATAAACAATACCTTCACAGTAGCTAATCTAGACACAAAATTAAAATTTACTAACCCTTCAGTTATGCTATCACCCAATACGGCAAAACCAGGACGTGGTATAGGCCTCCATATTGAGATAGGTCTACGAAGATCACCACCCTTGTCCCACCAGATTCTCTCAAAATTAGGAGTAGAAACATGATAACTAGTTGGCTTAGAAATTGACCTAAGAATGTCCCATCGTGATGAATTTCCAGTTTGATCACTTGTTTGCTCGCTCTGAGAGCTAGCTGCAGATGATGGGTCAGAGCATGGGGATGTCTTCGACTGAAGAGGATTCCAAAGAAGACAATGACTGAGGCCAGAACTATATTGTTTGGAAGGAGACGCAGTTGAAGAGTGAGCATAGAATGATCCAAGAACATTATCAGCACGCCAGATGCTGAATCCAGACTCTAATACTGAACTGGAGGGCACAGTGTATATGCACTCAGAGAAACTGCTGGAAGATACAAGGTCAGACCTTAGACAATAAACAATGTGATCTGGTGGTGGCTCACTTCCTATATTTGCAACACACCCCATAGCAGTGTATCCTGCAGGAGCTACAGGCATCCAGAGGGAGCATTCATTGTTATCACGAGAATGTTGACCATTACCCCTTCCAAAATCTTGAATAACAGAGAACAGGCCAATACAATTAAACCCAATCGGCTTCCGCACGCGCCCATATGTATTACTTACTGCCATTACTGCTTGTGTAGGAGGAATTGCCCTGAAAGTAAAAAAAAATTAAGGGAATTAATGATATAATGTAGCTTTACATGTAATCAGATAACCCACTAATAATTTATTACCTTGACGTCACACAGTCTCCCAATATGACATAGTTTGAAGGCGCCTGTGGCCTCCAAATTGTGAGGTTGTTCCTGGGTCCATTTTCTGCTCACATCCCGAAAACGAAATAATCAATTGTGTAAATATATGATATAGTTGCTTAAAAAGATAGACGAAATAATGACCATGTGGCTAGACCAAAACCTCCGACAGCATTTTAAGGTTAAACAGTGCCACGTAACTTAACTGATGCCATACCTTTCTGCGAAACCCAAATCCTGTGGAAGTTGGTGCATGAAGCTAAAGGAATAGCATTTCCAGATTGTAAAGCTCCAGTTACTTGGCTCTGCAGATTCAGTAGGAGAGAAAGAGCACTCAGAGAAAGGTGCATGTATATGTCAGTTGACGTCAAGGACATATTTGTTTTCTCTTTGACAGAAGTGTATCCTCCGGAAATATCGACTGGATCAAGAATGATGAGACCAGAACCAGTTTCCACCACCAGGTTCTTTAGCAAGGCTCGAATCCAGGTGTCATTCTCTTTTGCGGCGTACCTGTTGAAACAATAGCAAAAATTACATCAAAAATGTAGCATAACACTTAAGATCCATTAAGCATCAAGGGAAGGAAAAAGCTTGTTTCCAACGTCATGAGCAGGATGTAGACGAGGTCAGGTGTGGTTAATTTAGTACGATTCTTTACTTATACAGGTATAAGAGATAAGTGATCAAGCAATCATATTTGTGTCAAATATTGGGTTATTAAATGCGCTAAGACCTAACTGTCCATAACTTACATGTATGACATAATGTTGATAAACTAAAATCACTGATACTAAGATTTCGAGAACGCTGCACTTACATAAAATTAAAATCCAATTTCACTCGCAAAAGCCTTTCTACAGCAGAGGAGTCATCCAGGGAGGATTTTGTACCATCAAAGAAAGTGAATTCAGGAGAAACAACCTGCACAAACCAATTTTCCAGTTACAAGAATCAGATAGCTACTGAAAAAGGTTGAGGAAAATACTTCCATATAAACAAATGTTTTTTATTTTGGGTGCAAACAATATAATCAAATGTTATGGTCCAAAAAATTATAAGAAAGAAACACCAAAATCAGGGAATAATGATTTAAAATAAGTAAAACGAGAGAAACCATGTATCATCTACTAGTTTTCAGTTAAATAGAAAGGAATAAAAATAGCAATAAAGTAGCGCTCAAAACTATGTAGGCCGTAAAAACAAAACCTCAATTAAACCTACCTGAGCTTCGAAGGTAAAACTCTGGACAGACTTCGAATCCGGTTGACAAGTATCTGAAAAATCTGATGAATTGTGCGCATTGCTAAGCACATTCTCAGAATTAGATGACGCATTTTCTAACATTGAGATATCAACACCATCTTCAGGGGAAAATAGGCAGCTGCTATCGTTACTCAAGTAAATGCTTTTGCTCAGGAGCGATCCATTCTGCCACATAGAAGAAAAAAAAAACAGAAAACAAGCAGCAAGCAAAAATCAAGAATCTTAGAAATAGGGGAGTGTGAAGCAATAACTACAACAAGAAAGTTCATTCTCCGCTTGGAATTTTTTTTTAACTCTTAGCATGCCAAGTGACTATTTCAAACTAAACAAGTATGTACGTATTAAATATGAGATGATAAAAGGAGAAAAAAGTTTTAACCTTAATTTTTACATTCACGAACCGCAACTTCTTTCCATGCCCAACGATTATGATGGGTTCTAATCTTCCTGAGTTTAAATCCTTCTCTCCTTGTTCACTCAACGAGATTACCTTTCCGCATCCGTCATAAGTATATTCATCAACCCCCAGTGAATCTGCTACTAACTGTCTACAAGGGGACAAGTGCACAACATCTTCTATCTGTTTATAGAGAGCCTCAGAGAGAACTATGCCACTACTTCTAGTGATTGGATCGTTTGTTGGATCCAATGTTTCGTCTCTTCCTGTTATTGCACGCAAAGCTGGAACAAAAAATTCACCAACCGCAAGGAGGAAGTCAGGAACAGCAAGGATACGAGGTTGTTGAACCCGTAAAACACATGACTGAGAGGATGCTCGCCATCTATAATCCATCAGTAACATCGTTGAACATGGTGCGTCAAAATCAAGAACAGCCCTAGAGTTGGCCCGCTTAAAGCTTCCCTTATTCAGGGAAAAGGAAAAAGATTCCGGAGAAGCTTGCTTGGAAGCATCGACCGATGAGCCGAGCATCAGCCGCATTTCAGGCTTTGTATTAGGACGGATATCTAGAACAGAAACTTTAGGAACTGACACATACAAATCTGTCTCAGATAGTGACGTCATCCTGTAGGATACCCATAATCCTTCAAGCTGTTTAATCAAAGTGAATGACAAATTGGTATCGTAGATATATGGTATAGCTCCTAGGGGACAAAATGTACAAGGAAATAGAAGGATCAGGCTCAGAAGCACGTACCGCAACATGAGCTAATGGTGACTCTTCATTAACACTATTACGTAACTCAAGAAGAGCATAACTAATATCAACGGCCAGTATGGTAACTGTACGTGACATTATCATCTGACTATTTAAGTTAACTTTGTCAACCAGCAGGCGCATTTTATCTTTGGGGCCGGAACTGTTACCACGGAAATCTGGAGGTAGCTTAGGCTCCTCAAACAAATTCATGCTTGTGCAACTTACAATAATATCATATTCTTTATCAGACATCACAGCATGCAAGAAATCAATCTGCACGACAGATATTGAGAATACTGTATGTTCAGTACTAAAAAAATGACTGCAGATATCAGTAGTTAAGAGAACGTAACAACGTTAACCATGGCTTCTATAATAAACAGAGTATAAAAACGCTGTAAAATGACACCCAGTTTCTAAGCTTCCCTGGAAGACATTGACTAATATAAAATTGTGACTACTCCATTCTTGGTCTCAGATAGCAAGGCAATCTTTTTTATGATAACGTTTATAGTTATAGGCATCCCTACTCTAGCAATATTAAACAAAGAAAAAAAAATCTAGGTTCTTGATACCAAAAAGCAAATAATAAAGTTCGTCAAATGTATAGTGAAAAAGAAATCCAGTACCTTGATCTCAACTGAAAGTGTTGGGACTTTCTTAAAAACATCTCGTAGGCTGCGCCGGACAAAAATATCCAATCCTTGGCCTTCACGTATCATTGGTTTACCAATTGAACTATTTATGCCTACTGACATATTTAGCCCAAGAATCTTTACAGCAAAAACCAATAGAAACAATCATCAGTCTAGTGTATTCATTCCACATGTTAAATAAAGGTAGTTCGTATATATGTACCTTCGCATGAAGAACATCTACACGCACAGCACTGGGATCTTTCTCCGGACACCCATGCCAGCTTATTTCATTCGATATCTCCAGCTGACCAAGGTCAAGTTGAATGTAACTGCAACAAATAGAAGTGTTGAGATTTTACCAAGGTTCAGAGAAAGATTGAAGTAAACCATTTGTAGATTCAGCTAAAAAGTAACATGCTGCAGACCTAAAGCCTTCAAATTCATTAGAACTACAAGATAAAGACTAGATTCTATGCAAAACATTTTGATGACAACTACTAGACTAGCGTTAAAGAGCCATGAAAATAGAAGTGTTGTCAGAAACCTATCAAGTTTTTGATAACATAGCACATATGACGTATTAGCACACACCATTTCTACTTACTCTTTGCTCAGAGAATCTTTAGGGACAACAATTATTGGAGTGTCTAGCGAAAGGTCTAGTTTCAGCGCAGTAGCACCATCCATCTCATATTTCTGGATTAGCCACTCAAAGCCTCCCACTTTGTCAACAAGCTTAATGACTTCTTCAGAATGAGGAGTGGCAAGTCCCATGAAGTACGCTGTAACCTGTAAACCATTTCATTGGGTTGATCCACAGTAAAATGATGTTCAAAGAAAAGTTTTCGTTGCACTTTAAATCAACTAGGTAAGAGGCAGGCAGTGATCATGGTACCTCTTGAACAAATCTGTAGAGGAATACAATGCGAACAGCTGATAACCTACCAGATAAGCTATAATCATATCCTTCGTAGTCGTCATCTCCAGCACTATATGAATTGAATTTGAACTGCAGAGTAAACAGGAATTAAGCAGATGTACAACCACTACAAAAAACAATATTGCAGAAACTGCAATAAGGCTGTCAATATTCCATACCTTGATAAGAGACTCCACGCCAGGATCACGTATGTCACAGAGCCAACTCCAGCAGTTTCCAGAGTCTAGCGACTTGTCACATAGTTTAAAATTTCCTAGAGTCCCTTCTACTGAAAGAGAGCTCGGGTGAACCTTGAAAAATAAATAAATTTCACCAAATGACTCGTCAACTAATACAGACTATCAACGAAACTGATTCTCTTTGCTTAAAACATTTAGCTACAGAACCAATTACAGATTCAACTTTAAGAAACATAATTACAATAGTATCTTTAACAAATTTAATTTTCTTGTACTGATATAGGGTCAAGATTAAGAGTAAACTAGAAACAAAATCAAATACGTCAAATGAGTTGTCCCAGGCTAATATTTCTTACCTTAATGTCCAACACGAATCGTTCTTGTACCAACATCGCAAGCTGAGAACCATCCTCCTTGTTAAGAAACACAGTCACACTATCAACATTCATGTTCAGGTAAAACACAACGCGGTCCTTGCCATATCCAAGTAATCCTTCAATGCGTCCACCTTCATCATTTGTTTCTTTCTCACTATCAGACTTCTCAAATGCGCGAGTGTTGGTATTCTTATCATTTTCAACATATGTTGCAGCGCTCAAGTCAAATCCAAAACCAATTAGAGCAACTACAGTCGGTCTGCTGCAAAAGAACTCCAATTTTGACATGCGAATGCTCATCTGAAATTGATTTCAAACTGAACTTAGCAAAGTTGAGAAGGTATATTTTCCGCACTAAGATGATCTCCCATAGTCTTACATTACATACCTGTGTGTCGATTCCATTATAATCGTGGGAACTGGAGCTCCTAGTCAAGAAAACAACTGATACGAAATCAGAAAATTCGCTACCCTGCACCTCATAAAATACCTCATCGCAAAGGCCTTTTCCCTGAGACGTGTCTTTTTCATGAAATCCACCTTCAGCATCCTCGAGTCCCACATGTTCATCAGAGTCCATCATCATGCTGCATTGAATCATATCCATATCCGGAGTACCTGGTTCTGTAGGAGACAGAAACTCTGGCAAAGCATCTGTGAAGGCATCTTCATCATCTGCATGTCCTACAGACATTTCCTTGTCATAAGAATCACATATTCCTGGTGAGTCTTGTATGCCTTCGTTCTTCAGAACAGAGTAAGCCAAATACTGAGCACTTCCTGACTGCTGATGCTGAAGTTCATCTTTGATTTTCAGAGAGTGCAACTTCGTCCTAACGGTTAAGCCACTCTCTGAACTTATCATATGGACCTGCAAAGCGAGCACAATTCTGCCTCTATCAAACTAGACTATAATATAGAACCTACATAGAGAAAGAAATCAGCTTGAAAAAAAAAACATTACAACGCATATCAGGAATGGGAACCCTACAAGTGGAAGAAATGCAAATTTCCAAATAACTGACAACTTGATAAGTGGTGCTCCTAAGATATGCAACGTGATTTACCAACAATACGCTAAGAAATTTAATTTTTAATCAACCTTAATCAGCAATACTGTGGCTCTGTTGTAGTTTCCATCTAATTCACTAGCTTAGCCAGGCTAGCTAAAATAGTATCATTTTAACCAGAGCCTATCATGGGGTTAGGTTGTCTAAGTTTGCACACAAACAGGCCTCATCCTTTTCCCCTTCTCTCCTTAGTACACACGAGGCAAAACACATGGACATAACTCACTCCCTCAATATCAGCTTAAAGCAATGAAATATATCCAACAACACACAAACCTTTCCTCCGGCAGCAAGAACTTTGAGAAGCAGAACCTCTTCAACCTGCTCATCACGTTCGTCCTTGATCTGCAAGAGAATAGGATATCAAAAGTCCAATAAAAATTAGGAAACGTTGCTTTAACAGAATCTAAATGGTTCCTAAGCTCAAGCAACTATGAAAGTTCCTTATTAGTACGACATGGCATACAGATAGCAGACATATAAAAATCTGTAGAAAGCTGATCACAGCTAACCTTTCCGTACAGATACAACTTCGTCTCAACTAAAGCACCATTAATAACAAGATCAGCAGCCTTCAAATTCCCGGTCTGAGTTTCAGGGAAGTCACCATCACCATCACTTGTCTGACCAAGTACATCCCCCGACAGAGGAGCCTACAAAAGGACAAGATATTTTAGTATCAACCAAACACAACCATTGCAAATGAAAGAAGTCAGTGAGATTTTATAGATATACCGAAGCTTGATAAGTGGCTTGGACAAGTCCTCTCATCCAAGCTGCCTTCTCCTCCCCCTGAAACTCTATGATCCAGGTGCTAGAAGACTCCAGGGCCTGAAGAATGCATAACACCCGTAATCTTAATGGAAAACACAAAGGAAAATACAGCAAACAAAGCAAGGTTGTATAGGATTATATGTGAGCTGGCTTTTTCTCCCTTATAACTTCGAAAGCAACTTCAATAAAAGTGAGGTCCAGAGAATCATCAACACTCTCAACCATCTTATTTTCAGGTAGTTATCCTTTCAAGATTCAGCAAGCATACCCAACTCAGAAAGAGAGTATATTATAATCGCTGGGAAACTTATAGATTTCTAGGTCCTTTTATGACTCCTATAATTTACAATAAAGCAGCTTAGCCTACCTTTTTAAGATCTATCCCCCTTACACCGACAGCAAGGCAGTATGGCGAACCACCAACATTTGCGGGCGGAACCTCGAATACTTGTCTGCCAGCCATGCTGCACATGCAAAGTTTATAATTTGAAAATAATCTTTGTAGCAGAAATGAGTACTTGAAAATACAAAAAAAAAAAAAAAAAAAGAAAGAAAGACGGTACACGAAAGAAAATGAAGAATAGCACAAACCATAAATAACGTTGATAATCAAGTGACCTCTCTGATTCAAATGTATACAGATATAAACCAGACAAAACAAGGTGACAAGGCTGCCAAGTAGCAACAGAGTTGCCAATTCCCTGAAACAATAGATTCCATAAAATCAAAAAGCTGATATAGACAAATCAAGGTTGAAAAGTACATATACATAACAGTGCATACCTTCCAAACTAAGATTCTAGCATCATTAACAAGATCTGCAGGACTCCAAGGTTGGATTCCATCTGGGATGTCATCAGCAGGAGCTTGGCTGTAGGTTTTCATAACCCCATATAAGATGTCGGACAGTTGCATGATCCTCATATATCTTGTTGGCGAGAAATGAACACCAATATTTGGCACTTGGATGGAAATTCTTGTGGATGGGTAACTTGGGTGAGGTACTTTAATCTTAAAAAGAAAAAGATGCGTGTCAAGTAAATATGCCTCGTTTTAGCAATTGACTCAGGAACGTAAAATGTCGCACAAGGTAATACCTGATCAACAATAACTGCCATTCCACACCTATCAATCAGGGAATAAACGTTGTCCGCTTTCTCTAGAATGGGAGACAGAATCGGTTGATTAGCGAAATCTTCCAAGAGTAAACTGCAACCTTGGTTGTCAGATCCACAGTCTGTAAAGAAAGCGGCAATATCTCTTCCAGAAATGCAGAACCGAGAATATAAGTTTTGCCTTTGCTCCTCAGCCCGAGTATCCTGAAATTGCACAAGAAATATAAGAAAACAGAAGAGAAAGTGAGAAACACTACTAAAGTCGAAGGGCCATTCTGAACACTTACCATGGTGGTTAGCGTAAAGTTACCAAAATCCAAAAGGAAATGGCTACTGCACTTGGACGATCCTGAAGCCCTCAAAGGAATTCTCACTTTTGGAGCATCAAGATCAATGTCGAGAGCAAATCTGAGAAACCAAAGGTAAAGCATAAAGGAAAGCCGGTGAAAATTTTGCTACTTGTAAGAAATGATAATAATAACTAGATATAATTTCCAAAAGACTACTAGGGCAAGAGCTTTTGTTCCATGCAACCAACATCTCGCTTTAGTCACTACCAAATGGCCCAACTCTGATCTTAGGAACGATAAAAAAGGAGAGATATATAAAAGCCAAGTTATATTGTTCTAACCTGCTTTGCTCCTCCAGCACTATTTGAAGTTGCTCTTGAGCCCGTCGGGTCACTTCCTCTAATTTCATCTGTAATTAAGAATGGTAAAAAAAAAAAAATGCTATAGCCCATACGTCTGCAGGAAAATAAACATACATAAATCTATAACTGATAAATCTCTAAGAATTTGCGTAACGATGCACATGTCTACAATATGAAATGGATGTCTTATTGTCACCACGACGATATATGCAACCAAGTTTACACCAGTACCTGAAGCACAGCAGCAGTTTCCAACGCAACAGTAGGGCTAACGGCATTACTTCGCTTCACAAACTCCAATACACGATCATAACTTTCAGTCCAGATCTACAAATACGCAAAATCCACTGTGGTCAAAGCAGCGGTACCAGATAGAAAATAGAAAGACAAAAGAACTAAATAAAATAAGGAGGCAAGATGGAACTACCATGCAGGAAAAGCATCATGACAGAAAATAATGAAAAAAACATCAAGGTCATCAAAAACCTTAAACTAAGGCAATTCAGATATTCTAGAAGATCCTATACCCATGAGAGTTGCAAGTCATTCTTATCTTCAAAGAATAACTATATATAACCTTTTCCCTCCATATTTTCCAAAAGGGAAGCAAACAGCCTGCAGGAGCTTTAAGTTCCAAATACTCTCTCTGAGGCCCTGACAATCGAATATCTTCAGGAAACCACACACTTCATTCAATGCCACCAGCTAGATACTAGATATACGCTGCTATACTCTGGACGTATCTTATAGTTATGCGACTATAAGACAGATCCTAAATATACATGTTTCAAGAGCAAACATATATGAAGAGATTACCGTAGCATGACAAGGGGATATCGTGGCTGATAGCCTCCAATCAATGTTCTCTCCAATTGGTGCGTTCACAAAACTAGCCATCAAGGCATTTGTCTTTCTCTCACTGGATACACTCTGCAAAGCCAGTAGCATGAGACAGAGAGGGGAGCCAGGGAAGGTCAAATCATCATTTTATAGGCAGGAATATAGAACATTATCACAAAGATTGCTGACCCTGGTCATAAGGTGAAAATTGAAAATTGAAAACAAACCTGCGCAAGCGAACCTTCTGGTGCAGATAAGCCATAGAACCTCAGTGATACATCACACTGAGTACTCCGGTGTCTGAACTTGGTCGTCACATCAAGCTGCTCAAATCTACCACACAGCACCTCAGTCTGGTTTATATCAACAATCCTAGCTGCACCTTGACCAATTGATACCGTTACAAGAAAGTGAGTCATATTCTGCATGTCTTTTCCTGAATACAAATTCATCTCTTCATCTGGCTGATGACTCAGTAACTTATTTATGGCCTTCCACTCTTCTTTAGTCAATCCTTCCTCCATCGATTTTGATCCGTCAGCCGCACTATCGACCTCAGGGTCAGCTTCTGTCCGCCTTCATGAAGATGGTAACCACCAAAAGTCAATAAAAATAGTTTCTGCCTGTGACGTTGCATTTATGGCTACGATAGGGAAAAAAATGTGAAGAGCCACTGACCATTGAAACGAGAACCAACCACCCTTTTTCAGCTTTCTCTGCTCGGCTGCTTCTTTGGACTTTACAGATTCTACCTTTGCATGTGCAAGCAACCTATATGACGATACAACATAAAAAAAAGGAAAAAGAGATAAGTCGGAAGGAGAAAAAGGCACAGTGCGGCAGTGCCTTTGAAAATCACGATGGAAATAAAGAGGAAGAATGGCAGAGCTTGAACTTCGTACGAGCAAAAAGTGGTATGATAATACTAGATGTAATCAAGCAGTATATCAAATATTTCTGTCAACTTTCAGTATATCTGAAACATAGCCATAGTCATGTGAGTTCCGAAGACAATCTAAAGATCAAGTGTCAGCGAGATGGAATTCCAATGGTATGCATCACAAGGTGGAATTTCACAATGTTAAGAAACCACATGCTTTCCACTCAAAATGTGGGGATATGATTATTACCTCCACAAAAGAATCACTTTGGAATCAAGGTCCTTTTCGATTTCTCTCATCTCTGGGTTATTAGCATTTGATGACTGCTGCAGAAAGTTGGCATACAGCTGAATATAGCGCCGGCGTAACTGACAAAGATGGTGAATGCTATCCCAGGAAAATCGATAGCTGAAATATTGCCAATATATGCAAAATCAGATAAAAATATACAATCATTCCACATATCGAATGCAGTCATACTTTACCAGAAGATGATCAAACTATGCAAGACTAAAAACAAAATAGCTTGCCATATAAATGCTGTTTGTTTTCCTAGTTTGTCAGTGAAATCCTACATAAGAGAGTAAAATGAAACAAGCATCTACCATAATCTCTTTTGTTGCAAACTAGCTTGAGCAGCAAAGCGCCACCACAAACGAGGAGCCTCTGAAACTGGAACCATCGGTCTTAAATGTGAAATCTCTATATATGTTTTGTATCTTGAAACAACTTCGACTAGCTTTATCCAATCGTGATATTGCTCCTGGTAAGAGAAAAGCGGAAGACAAACAAGTGACTTAAGTCCAGCACCTCAAGAAAATGAAACCGCTAAGCAGGCGCAATAATAACTTCTAATGGGTCTCAGAAAGAGGAAGACAGACAGAACAAATCAAACCCCACAGGAAAATTTTACAGAAGAAAATGAGGAACACGTCCCCAAAAAATAATATAACTAACTATACTAAGTACGGAAAATCGTACCTCTGTGATTGTTACGTTAACATCAGTTAGGATAACTGACGCTCTTTCAAATGGAAGCTCCTGATTATTTCTCTCCTGGTTTCCTAACCGGTGATACTTAAGAGATCCATTGATAGGAGACAATAGATATCGACGATTCAAGGCCCATTTTGACTTTATTTTATGCTCGGTTTGCTCCTTTATGCCATCTTCAAACATCTGAAGGAAGACAGTCGGTGGTTATATACATATAACCTCAAAAAACATTTCAATTCACTATTAATCTGGCGAAAAACTCAAAATAATCACCAAGAAAAAGGTAGATAAGAGCAAACCTCAACCCACTCCGCAGGACTAATATCGTCCCATTGCTTCTCTATTTCCCAGGGAAAACTATTAGAATCATGGTACAGAGCAAGCCTTTCCAGCTGCAATGACTGTGACAGGGACGATGTGTTAGCCTAATTTTTTTCGTTCAAGTAAATAAGGAGCATAATTATCATTTAACACACTTTCGTTACCCAATCAACAGACCTTGTAAGAAAGTCCGGACTATATAACTAGCACTCAAGACAACACAAACATTAGAAAAAATAACTTATTGAAGAGAGACAAAAGAAAACAAATAAAAATCGTTTTTTAAACTCCGAATCAATTTGAAACTGCTACCTCATTCACCCGTGTCGTTTCCAGCAGGAAAAACATATGACATTTCCTTTGAAAGTCTAATCAATGTTCTATCTTATTTTAAGCCTCTTGGAGAGGACCCCTTGAACTTCGTAGATGAAGAGACCACAAAATGAGAAACTCAAACGCCCCCAAGGAATCATAGATATTTATTGTCCAAACACACATCTATTTTGAAACACGATGCTTTGTGTCAACTTTAAACTGCTTCGCCCAATTGAGAATAGAAAGGAAAGAAAACAATGTTCACCTTACGCAGTTTATCCAAAGCACCACTTGTATCAAAGGTCTCATTTCCTTCCTCATCCATTGTAACAGCTGCGAGCTTGGCCAAGGTTATGCCCGCAGCAAAGGGGTGCCCTGGATTACTAGAGCAAATATTGTTGAATAAGAAAAAAGCTAAACAAGTACTTCTGAGTCGTCTCCAATTGACAGCGACGACAAAAACACTAATAGGGAACACAAATGCAGAAGGGAAAACAGAAACAGAAAGGCAAACAGCCACAAACCTGGTAGAATCCTCGTATCTAATATGTACATTGCTGATGGATACTTTCAGATTGCCAATGATCGTAGCAATAAGCGAACCTAGCCATGAATTTCCGGCTGGAGGCTGCAAAGAATCAACCATAAAAGAACTACAAGTTATAGCATGCTTAGCATATGGGAATTTCCCTATCTACAAGTTATAACATGCTTAGCATATATCCCTCGTAAAAGATCACAAGGAATCAGCTAATCAGATCTGGAAAGTTGAAAAGAAAATAAGCAAGATAAAAACTAAAAAAAAATATAAGTTATCAAGTTTAGAGGCATACACTTCCCAGCTTCGATTTTGCTCTTGCTTCAAGAGTTGCTGATTCTGCTTCCTATTTGTAACAAACACGAGAATGAAAAATCAGAATAACATCAAAGTATATCCTGTAGATGAAAAGTGAAAAACCAGTCTCATGTAAAGATTGTATTCAGAAGTATGCATGCAGCTGCATCAGCCTGAGAAATTTAGTACCTCGATCTGCTGAAGCTTGGTCTCTAGAAGCTTTTCCCTGTCTTCCTCCTAGTATGCAATTAGTGTAAGAAAAATCGGTACCAATTAAAGTGAAAAGCTTAAAGGCGAGATAACGCAAACATATATAAATAAATTCCAACAGAATACCTTAACTGTTCGGCCATCAGGGGCAGGATAAGCAAGAACAAATACACGGTCAATCAGAACAATGACTGGCTCTTTCCCTAAACTTTTCCAAGGGACCTGAAGCAAAGGTTTGCATGAGTCATTTTCAAATTCTAGATATACGACCTAGCCATAATTACAGGAGTTTGCTGACAAAAATAGCTTGTACTGCTTTAAATACAAGTCTAAGTTCAGAAACCAGGGAGGTATCACCCTGACTTGCAAGTTGCAATCTCCATCATAATTGACTTGTTTGAAAAAAAATGTAGTCCAGAATATATCCAGTTAAATTATATGCGATTCCCCTTTATGAAAGAACATTTCTAACGTAACTGATATCACGCGCACAATAAAAATTCTTCACAGTGCAAGTTTCTCTAGCTAATAATCTCTTCGATAGCACTTCTAATAGCCTTACAACTCAATATTCGTATGAACAATGACCTGCAATTTTCCACTGACTTCACTATTACCAACAAACATGTTCTTCATAAACTAAAACATTTGATTTCCCAGCACTAGTATTGTACATCATTACATGATAGCATCACACATGCACACATTTCTGGTCAGGTAAGCATTTATCGCTATGTCATCACTAACTGGACTTTCCTTCTCTAAATCCTCAAAGGACATTTAGTAGGCATATATAGGAATTAGTATGTGAAGAAAGATGCTGCAAGGAACTCTGGCAAGGATTACTAATTCAACACAAAGTTCTTGACAGCTCAAGTAGTCAAAATTTCGAGAAAGAATAATGCTATATGCCTATATCAGTCTAGCGCATAGAATGGTAACACGGTCTGGAGGAAAATCATCAAAGATCCACCAAGAGAGAAAAAAAAATAGCAACCTTCAAAGTGATGGTCCCGACAAAACCGGATTTGACAGCAACTGGAAGTTTCAGTGAATTCAGAGCCTCCGCCTTCAACTTCAAATCTTTAAGAACAACATCCCCTGAAAAGCAAAAAAAAACGCAACATCAAGAAAGGGAACAAATCAAATTAGACAAGAACTGACTAGAAAGCCAAGGGATTGAATCTCTAAACATGTCATTTTCACCCTAACCAGTAAACAAAGTACTTCATAATTAAATCATGGACAGTCTTACAAACAAGAATTGTCAATACGCCCTAGATATTCATATAAAATTACAAGAAAGAAAAGCCAACCTTTCCAGACACTAATCCTCAGAGCCTCTGTCGAGAGTCCATGCACATATTCACCCAAATACCTCCGAAGCAGATGCAGTACCTGAATAACCCCATTCAATAAATTAGGGTGGACATGAAACTAGTGAGACCATAAAAATAACTCTACATAAGAGCAAAGATGTCCTGCAGAACATATCACTATAATTTCAAAAGAGAATGCAATTTTTGGAAACTAAAATTTCTGGAAAACAATCTTTGCGTATTCAATCAGCCGTCCAAGTCACTAACTTAGAGAGACCTTAAAAACGAACCAAGCTGAATTGTTCCTCAACTCTATTCTAATCTTAATGCACACTATCAACTAATTACTTCTCCAGCAGCAGCAACAATTGCTACTCTATCAGATGCTTAGGACCCATTTCGTTTTCGATTTTCACATATCCATAATAGTTGCGAATTTCTCATACGCAACATCGAACTAGACATTTTTCAAAAAAAAAAAAAAAAAAACATCGAACTAGACAAACATAACTTCAAAAAGTGAAGAAGAATTAGCCGGCGAGAACTCGTCGCAATCCCCAAAATTAACAAAAATAGAAAAAAAAAATGACTTACATGAGCTTCGAACATGGCGGCGACGAACGGGACAGGAAATTAGCTGGGAGCGAAAATGGAAAGGTTTTCCTCACGTTTGGTTCAGAAAATCGAGGATCATCGAGATCCGAGAAACGAACCGATTCAACATTAAGGAGGGAAACACGATCTCGAATTTCAATTAAACAAGCGTTCGTCGAAACCCAGCAATCGATCTACAGAGAGAACCGAGAGAAGCAAGAGAGTCAAGAGGCAGAGCGATAGAGAGAGACGGTTTTGGAAGAGAAAGATGAGAGAGAAACAACGAAACTCTGAGGGATTGATTTCAGGTAATATACGTGCCGGTCCTTAGCAATTTGCATTTTGTATTTTCGTAATTTTTCCGGTCAATACAATTTTTTATCCATTTAATTAATTTATAGTATTCAAACGACATTAACTAAATTTCCATTTGACCCCTGATATTTCTTGAATCTCATAATTCTTCAAAACCTTCTTATTCTAAACAATATAACTACAATTGTTACCAATTATTTTAAAATGAGTTATTTACACTTATAGACTTATGAGTATTTGTTTACATTCAAAAGCATTTGTTGATATTGAGAAACTTTAAAAAAAATTTGGGATGTGAAATATCAATTTTATCTTTAATTAAATTTTTTAAACAAAACCCATAAAATTTGTTTTCGATGTTGATAATAAAAGTGTGGTAGTTACCACTTCTTTTTCCTTCTTCTTTATCCTAATCTTCTCTATTCTTCCTTTTTCACCTTTTCTTCCTTTTATTTTTCTTTATTTTTCTTATTCTTCTTATTAGTCTGTTTAAGCGTCGATATTTTCGGTTATTTTACTACCCTAGAATATCAATCGTTCAGTAGAGTAAAACTTTGTCGAAAACTCAATTGGATTCGATAATTATGATGACTAATCTGATCAGTCAGTGGTGGTTTGGAAAATGGTGAGATGTTTTTGTGGACAGAGGATGTAGACAAGTTTTGGTGGACATGTTTCAAGGGCATTATTATATGTTGCTCATGAAATGTATCTGATGTTGATATGTGAAGCTGTAATGGATAAGTTGTCGTGGACAAGACTTGGTTAATAACAATGCATATACTAGTGAGAGATAATCTATAATAAAAGTTAAGGTGTTGGTTTCTTTTTATTGTTTTTGCTTTCATCTTTGTATAATGGAACAATTTAAATCAATAGTAAATCCAATGGAAAAACAAAATGTTAACTTTGTAATATGAAATCATTTTAATGACCCAAACACTACTATTGTAACAATCATTTTACATAATAATTCAAGAGTATATGTGAACAATCTATAATGGACAGCTTTTACATGGATATGTTTCCATGGACATATATTAATATGGATTCGTGGACAACCATTTAAACAATATTCATTACTTATTAACTTAGATTCAAGAGTAGCATAGTGGACAGTTTATCATGGACATGATTGCATAGACAAATTTGCTTGGACAATAAAAACATCACACTGTCCATTTTAACTTGTTTATAATACAAGTGTTTATTGTTAAATGGATATATATACTCTCTCAAACATTTCATCGAACACCTTCAAGTCATTTTTTGCTATTTCATTTTGTACAACTAATTCCCCATACAATCCCGAGTTCTCGCTTATCTTTAGATTCAAATTTAATTTTCAAAAATATTAGAAAATAGAGAGAGAGAGAGAGAGAGAGAGAGAGAGAGAGAACTTTCTGTTTCAACAAGTTGTGGTTTTGAGCTAGTCTCTCCCTCTGGTCGTTCTCCATCCTTAACCCATCCTTCAAAGCTGGCTAAACAAATTGTTGAGAGAGAGAGGTTTTACTGTTGAAAAGGAGAGGGTTTGATCTAAATTCATTAAAGAGAGATCAGGGGCATGATGTAGTGTTGGTGGGAGCAAGCAACAACAGATTTTAGAGATTTGGAAATTTTAGATGAGTATAAACCAAAAAATATTTAGGAACGAAGAGGAAAAAAAAGAGAGATAATTAATAAATGGTAGGATAACTAATTAAATTTGGAGTGATTTACATATACACATATTCATACTAGTTTGCTTTACAGTTTACGCACTTTTTGTATTTGGGACGTTTTCTTCTATTTTTTGTACTCCTCACTTCCTTTCTTGTCCTTTCTTTACATCTTCATTTTTTTACCCAACATTGCAGTTCTTTTTTTCTTGACGCATAAATTGGGTGACCGTATGATGAAGAACAAATTACAAATCCCGTACAATTTGTGGTTGTAGATAAAATTGATTTTGTTTTATTGAAATATAAACAGATGTAGAGTTAAATTATGGCTATTATATGAGTGAATGAATAATTTTTGTGCCTGAGAAGTTTATGGATTAAGAAAATTTGTAGACTATATCAAAACTTGAAGTTTTGATTCATTATCGAAGATATGATAGAGGGAAGAAAAAATACAGATCTTACAAAGGAGATAATGATGATATCATTCATAATAGTGATGAATGTGGCAATGTACATATGGATAGAAGATTGTAGATAAGTTTATTTGTGCACAAGCTCATGGACCATTTTTATTCTCCATATGAATAGATAATTTTGTAAATAAAATTTCCTTTACATAAAAAATTTATCTACAAATCAATTTACCATGTAGATAGAAAATTTGGTAAAAAAACTTGGAAAACAATAATTTCTTGTCCATGAACTATTGACCACAAAAAATGATGATACTAGACCAAACAAATAGCAACTCGGATAAATTATCATAAAACTATGGACATACAATAAATCAGTAGTACGATGGATATGATAATATAGATAGTAACTCAGATAAATGATCATAGAACAAAAGTATAACGATGGTCAAAATCGAGAGAGCGACATGACCGTATGATCGTTGATTTGAAGACTGAAAACCATGAGAGGCTCGTCGTAGAAGAAGTAGAGGAAAATCCAGAAGATGACGAAGATGGCCAAGACGAGGAGCGAAGTCGGGTGATAAAGAAGGCTTAGGAAGGGGATCATGAAGACATCGATGTCATAATTTCCTCATGTGGACATCGATGGCGTAATTCATATGCAAGAGTGTGATCGAACATTGTCCTATCCACAATGATTTGACCATGTGGACATGATTGAGGTTCCTGGCATTCCTCGTATCTACTTGTTATATGCTTATGCTAATCTTACAAAAAGATGTACGTTGTGTTATGAATTATTTTTTCCACCTTAATTCGACCATATGGATCTTACAAAGGATGTACACTGCTTTTTAAGTCACTTTGTCCACCTTGGCTTGAACATATGGATGTAATTGTGTTTGTCCATATGCTACTTATCCACTTGTTGCAAACATAGGTGTGATGGAAAAACATAAAGTAGTATATTTGGGAAGTATGCTTTTTAAAAATAATTTTTGGTCATAAAAAGGGTTTATTGTAGCGATGGGGGTAGTGATAGAATAGATATGTTTATTCTGATTTCATCTGATGTTAAGTGTTTTACTGTGGGTCTCAAATTGTGGTTGGTTCATTATAGGGCTTCAACGTGATAATGTTGGCGAATTTGTCGAAGATGCATTAAGAAGTCGAGGCGACGTATATTGGTGGAAGGATGTATCAGCGGACATTTTTCGGGACTGCATGAATCAGTGGAGGATAAGGATTTAAATTGACAAGCTTAATTTAAGAACGCCGTCGAAAAACCAAGGTAATATTATATATGGTGGCGGTAATTGTTTTTCTCAGCAAAAGTGTTTTTTATCAAAAAAAAAAAATTATGCAAATGAGCGGTGAAAAATAAAACGGTTTGTTTAGATATTGAATGAATGAAGGGTAAAAATATATTTTTAAATGGAGAAAGTGTGTCATTTGATGAAAGTGTGTTAAAATGTAATAAAAATTTTAAAAATATGTGTGGATGTAAATATCTCTTAAATTAGATTGAGAAGTTTAGTTAAAGGATATAAGAAATTTTTACTTTAAAGAAAATATGTCATGTAATTATAAATACAAAAAGTGCATTTGAATGTAACCAAAATTTCACCAGAACTGTAAATTGCCCTTTTGATACAAGAGTTTTGAGTCTCTTTCTCAATCACCTTTTGTACTAGTCATTGTAGTAAGGGTTTTATGTCAATCCAAAAGAGAAAGATTGAAGCAGTAGGAATGCAATAGATTTTCTAATTCAAGCAGATATGGAGAGAGTTTAGATGTCTAAAAATCTAAAGGATCAAACAGAAATGAAGCAAACACCAAACTAAGAGTGAACAGTAAGCAAACCAACTAGAACAAAGGTAAAAACAAAGTAAATTTGAAATAGACTAAAAACAGAGGAAGGACAAGACTTGAGATGGGGTAGTTGGTGCTAAGGAACACTCAACTCAACCTATGATGCTTACAAACTCACACAATGCTATTCTTTATGCATAGAATTCATTTATATGACTAATCTAATCTCTTGGCACTAATCTTTTTACTAATCATCAAATCAAGAACTAATTCTCATTAGTTAAATGATAAACAGCAAGCATTAAGACAATTTATCAATCCTATATTGTCAAATCACTCCCTAGACAGTCAATCTCTTGAGCTAGGAAAATCAATTCTCTTGCAAAGCAGTTCAGGCATTTCATCAAACACTTGGTGGGCACAAAATGAGCATAAGATCCTAATCAACTTAGCTAAGGCTAATCAGGCATTAAACACAACAATCAATGCACTCTTGCTTAGCCTACTCAAGCATTCAAATAAGCCAACTCTTTAACATTCATTAATTGTAACCAATGGATCAAGTTTATGCAAGTCAAGTGAGCACATTTGGTTAAAAGGGACATGGTCATTAGATGAAAATAATCTCATTCAGAAAAAGGTTCAAAGACATAAGTGATCACTCAATGAAATAACTTTATCTTAGGCAAAATGCTTAAGGTAAAAGCTAGCACACCTATGCATGCAAGTAAAAGCTCTCTTCTACCCCTTTTTACCCCAGAATGAACCTATTATCTTATAAACCCCAAAGTAAAACTCCTAGATCTACCCTTTCCCAAAGCACTTGATCTCTTCTTCCTTTGTGTTTGGGAAAAATCCTTCTTCTTTTTGCTTGTGTGGTTGATTCTTTGTTGGAACTTGTTCTTCTTTGTTGTATAATTGGCGTCATTTTTCTTCTTCTTTGGAAAAAAGTGTGATCATTTTTCTTCACATTCTTCTTCTTTATTGACCTTTGTAAGCTTTATTGTTGTTGTTGGCACTTTCTTTTACTTTAACACTTAAAGCTTTTTCTTCCTTATACTTAACCACAAACTTAACTTGTTTCCCCATGCTAATATCCCCATACTTCTTCTTCTTCTTTGAAATGATATAAACAATA